GAGCAAATTTTGGAGGCTCAGGACAAGCATGTGGATAGGTACCAGGGACAGGTGTGAGTGTTTTGTTGTGCTGACTCGGACTAGGTGCTGGTGGTGTCTCATACTAGATCACTCTTCCTGCTTTCAGCCCGGTCAGTGTGTACTCTTGTTACTGCTAGAAACTGATTCTATAGAAATGTTTGCATAAGTGCACAAAGATGTATGTACAAAGAATCTTATTACACTTCTATGACAGGAAAAATTAGGAACAATTCAAATATTTATCAATATCAAAATAGTTAAATAAATTGCCTCAACTTTTACTTTCTTGTTTCTGTAGAAGCAACCTTTTATTTTATTTTTTATTAAATTTATTGTGGTGACTTTGGTTAATAAAATTATAAATTATGCTTCAAGTGTACAATTTAATAATATGTCATATGTAATTGCACTGTGTTAGAGCCAATCTTTTAAAATGAGAACATTTTTACCTATTACCTGTATGACTAGAAAACAATAATATTAAAGAGAAAAAGAAACCAAACTGTACCTTCCCACCAAATTGTCCAGCTAGAATGTTAGCCAGAAGTTATTTGGGCTTGGCGGTGCTATTAGAGCATGCCCTTGGACATTGGGCTTTGGCAGAGCTTACCCCCTCATGGTGGACTCATTTTGTTCAGCTGCTGTGGGGATGGGAGCTTAGGTTATGGTCATAAAGTTTTTTCCTTAGTTTTTTCTGTTTTTGCCTAAGTAATTTTTCCTGACTGCAAGATGCTGCATGACTTGTAACCAGTGTTTTGTATCTACATGCTGCTTGCAGTGACAGGTATAGAATGTTTAAACGCTTTCCTGAAACCTAATTAGTTACACTGTTTCCTTGTATGGCCAGATATTATATATTTTTGCTTACAAAATGTTTTGTCCCCACTTGAGAGCAGTGGAAACATAGTGAGAAGAGCATTAAGTCTGAAGTCAGTAAGACACGCAAGCCTATGTTCACATCCTTCTAATGATTGCTGTGTGTCTTTAAGTAAAATGCTTAACTTCTCTGAGCCTGGGTTTAGCCATACTACATGATCATCTTATGTAACATAACCAATCTCCTTGCTCTCTATGACATCCACTTGTCTGAGTTCCTTGCCACATTCTGTAGTTCTTGTCTTCATGTGTAACTTTTAAAAAAGTATTTACTTGTTTTCAAGATGCACATGTTCACAGTATAAAATTAAAAAGTTCTGAAAAGATATGTCAATGAAAACAAAGTCCCTGCTCCCACCAGCTCACCCAGTTCTATTCCCTGGATAAAAATATTTTTGCCTTTTTGTGTTCTTTTTCAGATATAATCTATTCATATGCAAAGATTTAGGTACACAAGGACACATAAGAATGACTCAAGTTGTAGCATAGTTCTGAACTTTACTTTTTCCCCTTGATTAACAATATGTCTTGAGTCTATCTTTATTCTTATTAGAACTGTCTCATTCTTTTTATTTGCTGAATAGAATTCTATTTTGTGGATTTAACAACTTATTTACTCTCTTTTGCCTTTATAAACAATGCTGCAATGACTATATTTTTACAGATGTAAATTGTGCTTTTTAAGTGTTTATAGATGTGCCAAATTACTGTACATAAATCTGTAAGTTTATACTCCCATCAGCGATGTATTATAGTTTCATTTTCTCTACATCTTTACCAATGCAGTTTTTCACAAAATATTTTGATCTCTGATAATTAGAGAAGTAAAAATTGTTTTCTTATTGTGGTTTTGCTTCTTATTAAGAATTATCGTGAACATCTTTTCACATGCTTACGAGCCATTTGTATTTCCTTTTCTGTGAACTGACAGTTCATAACCTTTATCCTCTTTTTAATAAAGTGGGTAATTGATCTTTTCCTAGTTTCTAAGAAAAAGTTCTTATATACTAGATAAATTAGCCATTTGAGTGGAATACAAGCTGAAAATATTTTGTCTTAGCTTGTCATTTTCTCTTAACTATACATGTATGGGATGAGATTTTTTCCTAGTTAGAAATTTTAGATTTTCCATGTCAAATTTATCATCTTTTTTTAAATTCTAGATTTTAAATCACTTGAAATCCTTCATTCTCCATTCTAAGACTAAATTAATTAATGGAGAGTATAAGGCAATTGACCTCTAGTGAAAGGCATCATTATAGAAGTATCAGCGACTACCTGGAATTGGAGCTGTAGCAAGAAGGATGGAAAACTGGTGCATCTGCCAGCAAACATTGAAATGAGTGCAATGATTACATTTATAAATGTTCATCCAGGATGCCGACCAGTATTCTCATCACTATAGAGTTTCTCAGTTTTTCATTATAGAGTTTTAATGTTCTCACTGTGTCCTGGGAAGTCTAACAGAAAAGTGAATATGGAAATTCATATTAAATCTGTATGTTTTAGTATTATAATAACATGATGTTATTTCTTATATTTATGTATTATCTTATATCTTTTCTTATATAAACAATTTGTGTAATTCCTCCTCTACAGCTTCCCCAAATTTATTAAAAAAAATTCAATTTAAAAAAAATAAACAATATACAGCACTAAAGATATTCAATGACAGACTCGTGACTCATCAAATATCCCTAGACTCAGAAACAGAGCTACAATTGGAAAACATTGTTGAGGAACTAGAATAGCCTGGGATGCTCTTTAAAGATACAAAATTCTGGATAGAAGCTTACTTATGAATAATCAATTTTTTTCTGTTATTTTTTAAGTTTATTGGGGTAGCATTGGTTAATACAATTATATAATTTTCAGGTGTACATTATCATTTGACATCTGTATATTCTATTGTGTGTTTACCACCCAAAGTCCAGTTTCCTTCAGCTATCATATATTGAATAATCAATTTTTGTAAGAGTGCAAAAACTTATCCAGTAATAGAATATGAGAGAGACTTTTTTCTGTGGTCTCAAAATTTTGGCTGAAACCTAAAGCTGAAAATAGTAGGTGTGGAGAATTCTTATATTTGAAAGAGAGTCTTTAAACACACCCCATAGGACTTTCCAAACTAGTCTAGGGACAATTACCAAAAG